CAGAAAGAAGTCAGATTCATTGTAGCCTAGAACTATACATCCTAGTCTTCCCTGCCTTGATGACCTACTGGACAAGTGGCAGAATATGCAGTGCACAGCCACCTCTTTCCCACTCTCATGAATATGCACACTAGTATAGTTCCTTATCTGTTCAGGAATTCATGCACAACTTTAATGATCACAGAGTCTGATAGGACACATCTACAGACGTGCAACAGATGCACTTAATTGTTTAAAGTATTTTCATGTCACTGCTCAACTAAAAATGCTCCTGGAGGAAGAGGTGTAATCAGCAACAGGGAAAATAAAAAAGACACTCCTTCTGCAGGCGTGGTGTCTTAAGAAGACATAACACATGAGGAAAGAGAAATGGGGAAGAAGGAGATAATTAAAATTGAGCTGTTTTTGATGCTTTTACAATTGTTATGGATAGAGCAAAGCAGATCAATCCGCTATAACACTGCTACATTTTATTTCTAAACAATTGTTTTCAGCGCAACAGCTTCATAGGAATTGTCTGAAACTGTAGAACAATGTAGTTGTACAGCTGTGGTGAAGCAGGTCTCAAGAAGCATCTTGTGGGATCTCTTTGTAAATTGCTTATGTAATTATTTGGAGGAAGAACAAGGATGGATAAACAAATACACATTTATCTGACTGCATACCCTCTTCTTTGGTATTTTATTCAGAGACTGGTAATAATGTGTTACAGCTAAACATGAACTAAAGAACTCTTTCTTTAGTTCAGGTTTAGAGGAAAGAGTCTTGTTGTCACCCTGCTGTTCTGGGATCAGTGAAACAGTCTGGACTATTTTTAAGTTTTCCAGTATTTGTGCTTTTGCAACTCCCCAGTTTGATTTCACCAGATCCAACCTCAATCTCCTTTTCTTCCACTGTGGCACAACCGAGTTAGCACAATAAGCATCCAAGCTCACAGATATTACTGCTCCAGGTTTCTATTGATAATTAAGTGTGCTATTAATGGGTGTCCTATAATTTTCAGCCTATTGCCTACTTTATCTTGGACCTGCAAATATATTTCATAATAGATATTTTATGAATGCATTCCACCCTGCTTACATATAAAATGAAGTGGATGGGGAGCAAAGTTAATCTTCTTGCCCAGCATCCCTCTGCACACCGTGGCTTTGAACAGCTCCCTCTTACCAGCTCTGAAAGTGGAAATGAGCCAAGCTGGGGGAAGAGCCAAGCTGGGGGAAGAGCCGCTGAAGGGAACAGCACCACAGGGAAGTGGGAGAGGGAGACACATACTATGCATTTCCCCTTGCACTGCCTTTCCCTGGAACAGTCTAAAATCTCCCTTTCTCCTGCTTTAGATAGGAACATGACATAGTCCACTAAGGGAAACATTACACAGCATGTTTCCATGCACTGCTGACCCATGTAGATATTCATAGGGGGAAATGAGTGATCAGGCCAGGTGGTCAACATTTGCTTTCAGAACAGGTTCCCATCTAGCCATAGAAGATTAAGGGAACAGTCCTGCACCTGAAGGGATGCTGGGTGTTGCAGGACTTCTTCTGCCTAAACATGTATAGGATTGCATTTTAATTCTTCTATGTAGGCCTCACGTAGGAGAGACTGAGAGGACTGGGTACGTTCAGCTCTGAGATGACTGAGGTGGACATGATAACCCTCTGTAAATACTATAAGTGAAAGACTGTCAGAAAGAGGAAGGTCAAGATCTCTTCTTACTGATACCAGCATGTAAGACATGGAATAATCAACTCAAGTTGTGACAAACCAGACTCAGGTTAGCTATCAGGAAAAGCTTCCTCATTGTCAGAGCAATATGACAGTGGAACCAGTTGGCTAGAAAGGTCATAGGCTCTCCCCACACTGGAGACATTCAGAAAGAAACTGGACAGCCATCTGAGTGAGATGGTGCAACTTGGTGTCCTGCAACAGCAGGGGGTTGGACTCTGGGCTTCTTGGCCCTCTCCAACTCCCCTATTCTATGATATCACTAAGCTAGGGAGAGCTTACTTAGTTTTCATTTTTAATATTAAAACATACAACACATTTGTTGATTACACAAAATAGATACTAACTTCTAATTTCAAATACAGTTCCAAAATAATGAGTACACGTGACCAATCACATTGCTAAATCTTCTTCCCCACACATTCCAATCCATTTCCCCAAAAGGGGAGGGTTATATATTTGTCTCTCTCACATATATATTAATTTCATAATTACTGCCCTATCCCAAATCCCTTAAAACTAATCTGACACAGAAGAGACAATGTTCTTTCCACAGTGTGAATTTTACAATTTTTAAGAGTTGTTCAAGGCCTTTCACAACTGCTCATTGTGAGAGAAGCACAGAAGCATCAAGGGATTGTCTATGAAGTCTGTCCCTTTGATACGTCTTGAATATAAGTCCAGGGAAAGACTAACATCTGAACCAGACTAGTAACCTTTAAGCATTAAGCACAAAGAGCACAGAAAGGGCCAGTCTGTATGTGGGAAGAAAGCATAGGTTGTTGAGAAGTACAGGAGTGAGCATGCATGGGTTCAAACACTGAGTTGCTCGTTGCCCAACAACACACAGTTCTCGGTGTCATGATAAGCAGTACAGAGAGGACGTGTCCCTGGGTTGTTTACCACAGTGGAACCAAGTAGACACTTAGAGTAACCAGCAGGCACACTTGCTTGTGCTCATCTTCTCAGCCACCCATGATTTGTTAACTGAGGGGTCTTAGGACATGCAAAAATGTGAAAAGTCAATTTCTGCATTCCTAGCCCATCAAGTTTTGAAATGCTGATCCATGGAATAAGCAATTCTAGCCATACCAACCTGCTGCTACCTAGCAACAGTTGCCGTTCTCTCTGTGTGTTCACAATGGCCACAGAGTATAGGGAATTTTAACTTAATGTGATGACTGTAAAATAAGATGTGGAGCCACTTGAAATTAGAACACAAATTTAGGAAGACTTTCTCTTTCAAATGGTGAAAAGGCATAACTTATTGTCATGATTTCCTGTATCTTTCTTTATCCCCTTTCCCAACATTAGTTATAACAAAATAAGGCCATAAGTTGCAGAACATTAATTCCTGATCTAAAGAGTCAACAGTGGAAGGAAAGGAATATCCAACCTCCAGGCAGCTAGTTAGTCTGGCTTTATGACCTGTTCTGCTACAATCTGACACAACACACCTGGGGACTGATTTCTCTTGACAAGTGTTTTGCACCCACACTGCCCCCCTAAATATTTTCTATAGAGCTTTAAAATTATTTCAGTCTCTGCCTATTTCCTCCCTTGTATTTTAAGGAAATTATATCTGTATGTCTGCATCATATGCTATTGTTTTATGACAAAGACTTTATTAAAGTAAGCCTCATCAGAAAAATTAGCAAATAAAGTATTCAGTATAGATGAAGTCCTACAGTGTCCCCAGAACAGCAATAAATTAAGATGTGTGTGAAAGCTGCATTCTTTCTGTTCTGATGCCCATTTGCTCCTTTTCACAAATAGTGTATATTACATAATGCTTTTTTCAGTGTTTTTTAAAAACTTTTCCAGGCTTTCACTAATGATACAAGTAATTTCACACAGAACTCCAACATATATGTTTAACATCAGATGAAATCCAACCATTTAATCATTTTTGCACAGTGTCTGTGGTATATAAAAGATGCTACTAAAACTTTTAAGTAATGAACCTTATATAGTAAAAAGAAAATCATTCTTCAAATAGAATTGATGCTGCTGGAATGCAGTAGTAGTGACACTTGGGGATGTGTATAATTAATCCAAGCTCTTCAACAGAAAAACATGGTTTACATTAACTTGTTTTATTGCCATGGCAATGACAGCTAAGACTAAATATTTTCCAACTACCTTTTCCTCCACTTCCATTAAACACACAGAAATGTTCACTTTTAACCGCAATATAAAAACAGTTCACCTTTCACAATAAACATTAAATCCTTCTGCACAATGAGGACAGATTAAACAAATACCCCACTAGAACTCCAGACAAGGATAGCAACGACTGGCTGGAAAAGAGCATTCAAAATGTATTTTTATTAAAATTGAGAGAGTTGATATTTTGAAGCTACTAGAAAAAGTAGAAGTACTGACAGTGGATGAGAAATGTTCTCTCATTAAGAATTGTTACATCTGCTGCTCTAAATTTAGGGGAAGATATGCCACCCAGAAATTACTTTTAAAATGGCTGGCAAATTTCTAGGTTACCAGCTGCATGTACAGCTGGATAAAGCTGAATTTGTGAGCTCCATATTCTACCAAAATGAAAAAGTGGGTGACGTCTAGCTCACAAAAATGGAACATGGAATGTAAATGTCTTTCTAGACTGAGATTTACTAAAGACATGAGGAAATAGAAGCAGCAGGACTGTGCACACAGCAATCACACACGCCTTGCAATGATGCTTCAAGTTAAGTTCCTGACCCAGCCACTGAATGGCAGACTCTCTTCTGTCCCTTTGTCAAGAGTCAAAATGACATCTTAAATATGAAGACAACTGTAGCATTTTTGTTAAGTGTCCCTTTTGCTTGCTGTCAAAACAAGACAAAACAGTTCATTTTAAAATCTTAAATTATAGCAGGGGAAGGGGGCTTGTAGGGAAGGCTGAATGCCATTAAAAAAGAGCAAGCTGTGGATGTGAAACGGAAATCCTAGCACCCATGTTCAGAATCTTATTTGGAACGGTGACTTTTTAAGTATATGATACTTTGTCCACTTGTATATTTATAATAAAAAGTCATTGAAATTCTATGCCATTTATGATCTCCAAATTACTTCCTCATCATATATTTCCTACTCATGCAACCCCTCACCATACTTTTATGTTAAAACTCCTGTTACAACAACAGTTTAATTAAGATCTCAATTCATACCAATATTATCACTGGGAAAAAAACCTTGCATTGTGCTTACAGACTTGGTGTTTGGGCACTGGCAAGAGTTACCCAATCCAAACCAAGCTAAGCATATGTAAATGTGGGTACCTGACAACATGTTGAGAACCAGAGTAGCAACGTTGACGTCTTGGAGATGCTTAAGAGTTTCGGTGTGGAAAAGGCGAAGAGTAGATCCTGTGGTGAAGGCAATCCAGATTCCAACTCCTGCAACAGCCATATGAGAAATCACCATCCCTTCCTCCTGATGAGCTTCAAAATGGCACTGCATAACAGACAGAAGTCACTGAAAGTCATGCAGAAGAACAAGCAATGTCAGTACTCCATCTTTAGCTGTTTTCTTGGGATGGAGGGAGGAAATTTAGTACTCATTATGAATTAGGACATTAATTTAAAGGTCTATTGTTCCCCTAATGTATGGATGGAAAATTCAGACAGATAATTATTAGGAAAGCCCAAATGTTTGACACTAAGTGCTTAATAAAAATGATTTCATTGCTTCAATGATGCTGATACTCTAATGATTGTAACTGCTGTTCCTATTACAGGGTTGTATCCAGCCTTGCCTCTCCATGAATAGGAAAGCTCCTCCTGTTTGCAGAAGGGATTGGATCAAATGGAGGTTCTGGAAGGTGATTTTCAACAAAGGGAAGGGGATGAAGATGAAAACATTTCTGATGAGAATATAGTGAAACATGATAGCCAATCAAATAGGCCTAAGTGCCAAAATAGAAGATGCACAGGGCAGAGGGACAGGTGTTTCTATAAAAATACTATAAGCCTTTGAGCCAAATTGGTGGAGCTAGAGTGCTTGGTTTTAAAGGAGAACCAAAATGTAGTAGGCATTATGGAAGCCTAGTGGAATAATGGGATACGGTCAAGAGTGGACATAAACCAGACAGGAAGGATAGGGAAGGGCGTACTGGAGGAGGTGTTGCTCTGTCTGTCAAAGAGGTCTTATTGTTCAGCAGAATCCTCCATGGAAGCATGGTGGGTCACAGTACTTGGCTCCAAAACCAATTTAGTACTAGCAACACACTATCCTCACCCGGACCAGAATGATCAAGGTGATCCTGAGATAGAAAATGAGAGCAAAGGAGACTCAAAACAAGGAAGTGTTATAATAATGGATGACTTCAACTACCCTCCACATTGACTGTGTGAATGCATGCTCCAATTCTGACAAAGAGGCCAAATTTCTTGATGTCTTACATGCCTGTGCCCTGGAACAGCCAGTCATGGGGGCAAGCAATCCCGGATTTATCTTGGAGGATGTAATATTAGATATCTAGTAAATGCTGGTGAATCACCTGGAAATAGTGACTAGAGTGCTATCAGATTTATTATACACTTAAGTGAAAGATTGCCAGAGGTCCAACATAATCACATTTGACTTCAAAAGAGGAAAGTTTTCTAAATGAGGGAATGGGTGCAAAAGAATTTGAAAGGGGGAAATGAGAGGCTTAAATCTCTTCAAAAGCTTTTGTTAAGAGCAGTATAGAAAAAATGAGAGAGCGAGAGAGAGAGCAAGAGAGAGATAGCTTGGACAGTACTCAAAACCACAGTAACATAGATGTTCAGCAGAATGCATACCACAAGTAAGGAGAGGTAGCATTGAGTTGAAGAGGGCACCACCAAGGTTAATGAACAGTGTCAAGGAAGCTATTAGAGAGAAAATGTCCCTCTGAAAAGTGGGGGGGGGGGGGGTTCGCCACAATAAGGAAAACTACAGGAAGCACAAGCTTGCACAAGAGAGATGCGAGCAGGTATTCAGGAAGGGATTTTGAGGAACTAAGGCAAACAGTGGTAACAAAAGATTAAATTCTCAGCCTTACTGACAAGCAGAAAGTTCATAAATCACTAGGTCCAGATGGCATCTATCCTAGAGTTTGTAAAGAACTCAAATCTGAAATTATTCACCTTCTTACAAAAATATGTGATATGACCCAAGATCAGCCTCCATACCAAGGAGGGGAAAAAGGCCTGTGTAACACCAATTGCAGGCCAGGTAGCTTCCTGTCTGTTCTGGGCCAATTGCTTGAAAACTTTATTAAAGATGGAATCACTAAGCACATAGAAAGACAAGCCTCACTGAAACATGACTTCTGCAAGGGTGATTCCTGCCTCACTGGCCTATTGAAAGTGTCCATAAACATGTACAGAGGTGAGTTTGTTTAGAAAAAATGTGATAGATGGGTTTAAAATTATGCACAGTGCGGAGAAAGCAGAGGAGGGGACCTTTTCCCCCCTCTCCCATAGTACCAAGACATGGGGTCATTCCATGTAGCTGATTGGTGGGTGGTCCAGGACAGATAAAGGGAATACTGTACATATTTCCCCAGAAAAAAAATACTGTTAAAACTGTTAATAATTTCCCCCTTAATTATAAATATTTTTAATTTGGTGGAGAAGAAGAATACTGCAATTAACACACACTATTTGAAACATCTATTTGTACATTTAAAGAGAACTGCAATCAATGAAATAGCAGGGAGCGAGGAGAGGCAAACAGCAACCCTCCCCTTCTTTCCCCAGGAACATCAGAGGCGGGTTGCTCTTTGTACATTGTCAGGCAGCTTGAGGACTGCAGCCTCTTTAAATGCCCTGTTGAATTCAATAGATGTGAAATGCCAGGGATGCTAGTGGAGAGATAGGCGGTGTATAAATATTTTAAATAAATCTATAAATGGTGCAGTTATGCTGTGTGCTGTAGAAAAAAGAAATGGAAAAAGGATCCCCAAAGCAGGAACAATGCATGTAGCTAGTTGTCTGGATTTCCCAAAATGTTAACCAGAGTGGACACAAACAGGTGTCAGACTCTTAGAACAATTAAATAGCAGAGTCCAACTCATTCCTAACCCTACTCATTTTAAGAAGATATGGAAAAGGTGGTGTTACCTTCCTAAGCTGTATAATGCCAGTCCATTCAAAGCAAAACAATAAAAAAGGAAAAATCCCTGTGTTCAAAATGCACACTACACAGGTATTTTTATGGAAAGGTGCTGGCTTTATTCAGAGAAGGGTCTGAGCAAAAGGCTCTAGCGAAAGATAAAATGTGATAGCTGAAGTTATGCTGTTTTGAAGGGAGAAAAGCAAAAGGGTTTCAGACTCCTGTCCTTCAGATCCATGGGAACAGAGCGTGCCACCCAAGTAAAGAGCAAGGCAAGAAGCGGGGGGGGGGGGGAATCATATGGCCAAGAAATACCATGTTAATTTTGCAAAATCAATTTACTAATCTGACTCATGGGAAGGTTCAATGAGAAAGTGATTTTTTAAAATCATGAAAGCAATTAGTAACAGCAATTTCTTGACTGTTAAAAGGCATTTAAGAAGGGTTAAAAACCAAGCGGTACAATGGCGGGGGCTGGGGAGAGGGAAGGAATTTTATATGAGGGAGAAATCTTTCAAGGTTTGGTTGCTTTGATGCTACTTGAAAAACATGAACTTTCCCATTCATCATACTGAGGAAAGGTGATCACATGGAAGACTCCTCGTGGGCATAGCTCATTGTATTCTATCTTCTTTTTTAATGCAGAATTTTACACTGTCTATCATATACCACAGATTTCCTCCTGCCACTCCGCCCCCAGTACATAACAGAATCTTCTGTCCGCATGCCTACCATTTGTCCCTTCTGCCACCTATCCCCCACCCTTCCACTAAACATTTCCCTTCCTTTCCTGCCTTAGTCAAGTCAGCACCGAGCACACATTTTTTTAAATGAAAAACAGGATTTGTGCAAGAAAGCATGTTGAAAGTTTTTCAAACCCACATTTTCAAAAGGAGGTAATTCTGAAAGGATGCCAGATAAAAGAGGGAAATAGCAGGGTTTACAGTACACCAACAGGAAAAGAAGTGACACAAAGGGGAGCAAAGCTGTGGCAGATGGGCAGGTTTGTTCAAGTATCTCAACCGTGCCCCCACAGAAATGCCACAAAGCCCCCAAACTGTTATCACACCAGTAGTTCTTTAAGGTATTGTGGTTTGCCAGAAAAATTAACAGATTTTACTCATGGAAAAAAATGGCAAGGTGAGAAAAATCACAGAGTGGCTGCAGGATCACAATGGCATTATGTGGTCAGCTCAGAAAGCTGCACAAATGGGGCAAGGCACCTCCAACGCCCCATCTGTTTAAGCTGCAAGAAAACTCAGCACTGATGAAAAAGCTTTACCTCTGGTCTGCTCAGGTATTATATGCTGTAGGCAGGTCTCTGTTAGCATCTGGGAAACTTACGTTCTTACGAAAGTTTCACAGAAACTCAGAACAAACCCTTACCTTAAGGTATGAATAAAGAGGTAATTTTCTCATGCAAACATGGGGAACAAACATCCCTACCTGAAAGCTGGCTGCCTCCCAAAATATATGCTGTGCAGTCACTATGCAGTGTAAACACATCTCATTTTCAGACAGATAAAGGTGTGCTGCAGCACTAGTCCCTCCACAGAGAAGGTGGGTTCCGAGTCAGTTTCACTGGAAGGAAGCCAAGGGGCTAGTAGTCAAGCGGGCCAAGCCAGGGGCAAGTTTAGGCCAAGTTTCACATGCGCTCATCCCATTGCTAGCTCCATGTCATGGAATTTACTCCTAAGTAAACTGTTTGCAGTGGAACGGCACAGCACACTTGTGTATTCACAGTCACTCCTGGACATATATGGGCAGGTATGAAAAGACAGTCAAATACATTGTGGTTGTCTCCATACTAGGATCATTTAGTGTTCTTATTCTTCCACAATCTGCTGAAAGGAGAATCAAAATGAATCCAAAGCAGTAGTTAACACGCTGGGTAACTTCCAAGCTCGATTTCTGCAATGTGCTCTATGTGGAGCTACCCTTGTGCCAACTCCAGACATTGCAACTGGTACAAAGTATGGCAACCAGGCAGGTCTCTGGGACACCATGGAGAGACCACGTATCTCCTATTTAAAGTCTTTACACTGGCTCTCAACGCATTTCCTGATGACGTTGGTAATCACCTTTGTTGGTAATCACCTTTAAGCCCTTCATGGCTTGAGTCCAAAATAGCTTCAGGAGCGTCTTTTCTAATGCATTCTGCTTCATCAGCTAAGGTCCTCTGGGGATAATCTTCTGTAAGATTAGTGTCAACTATCCAGAGGACTTTCTCAGAGGTTTCCCCTAAACTATGGAATGGTCTGCTGGGATAGATGAGTCCAATAACCTAGACTGCTCCCTTCAAGAGGGAGTTAAAGATGTATCTCTTCTAACAGGATTTTCCAGATTAGTTTTAGTTAATATGCCTGTTTTTAGTC